AGGATTAATGCTGAAAGATACACCATTATGTAATGATGAAATCATAGCAAAATACTTTACAGATTCTAAAGTAGGTATATCTTCCTAAACAAAGCGAGATAGCTAAAGAAAAAGAGATAACAATGTCTGAATCATCTCAATCAACAAAAACAGCATCAGAAAAGGAACCTGAAGAGGAACCTAAGAAAGTAAAACCCAAAATAAAGATATTATCACAACTAATAACACCTCCAAGAAAAGAGAAAAAAGAAATTCCCATAGAAATCTTCGAAAACTCAAAAAAGCAATAGACAAATAACACCAACTAATCGTTCTTCAACAATTTCAGCCTTGTCTGAAAATGACCAAACAATACATACGTCTATGGAAAATCCAATATTAGGAGCTCCATATACTAAGAAACATGTAAATGTATTTGGAAATGAAATTGTATTTCGATATTCCAATAATAACACAATTAGAAAAGAGATAATCAAACTATTTGGTAATAAAAAGAGAATAATATTCTTCTTACCAAATAATCCAACAACATCACAAATTACTAATTTAGTAAAGGAATACATGCCACCTGGTATTTATTGCCTTCATTTCCTAAATAAATCTTTAGAACCTATTGTGATACGAGCATTACAAGAATCGTTTAATTCGAATTCATTTACTCGAACTCTCTATTAGAAGACATCACAGAAGTTGATCTTCAACAAGAGAAAATTCAGCAATATCATGAGACTAAAACCTCTCATAGAGGAATCACTGAAAATATTGCAGCCTTAAAGAAAAGATTCTATTGCCCCAATATCGAGAATGACGTACAGAATTATGTCAAAGTATGCAAGATATGCAATAAAACCAAGTATGAACGTCAACCATACAAAATCATATTCAAACGAACACCCATTGGTATGAAACCTTTTGAACATATTTATATTGACACGTATATAATCAATAACCAGAAATTTCTGACCATTATTGATAGCTTTTCAAAATTTGCTCAAGCCTCTCCTGTAAATACGAAAACAGCTGTTGAGATATCATCACAGTTATTGAAATATTTTAGTGATCATGGAATACCCCAAAAAATCACATCAGATAATGGAGCAGAGTTCAAAAATGCTATAATGACAGATCTTTGTACATTATACAAAATTGAGTTTCATTACACAACTCCAAGAAACCCGAACTCGAATAGTCCAATCGAACGATTCCATTCGACACTTCGTGAAAGTATAACGAGTTTAAAACTCCAAAACCCGAATAAGAGTATTATTGATCTAATGACAATCGCTATATTGAATTATAACAACAGTACTCATAGTACAATGAATCACACCCCTTTTCAAGTGATTAAAGGAGATTTGAATTATGCCAGACCGATTGAACAAACGGAAAATAAACTAACAACTGACTATATAACAAGTTTGGCAGAATCTCTTGCAAATTTGAATAAAGAAATTCAAGACAAATTATTAGCGAAACAAACAAAGTCTTTAGAATCACGTAATAGACAAGATAAGTCCGCGTTATGATAGCAAAACACAGAATCGCTTTGCTAAACAAAATGTTAAACGACAATAATTTATTTCAGGTACCCCGAGATGAATCCTTTAGTATTCCTAACTCTCGTTGGAGTCACCAACGTATACATTGATGACGGTAGAATATCCTATTTTACCAATTTCTTTAGGAACTACTTACGTAACAACTCAACATAACACGGCCTATTATCACATAAACACGACAATTATCATACAGAGTATCCATAAACTGGAAATTACCTTAATTAAATTATCTCACACTCTTAACAAAACAACATGGTCAAACCAATTTGTTGCACTGTTTCAAACAAATATTGAAAACAGTCATTCTCAAATTAAGATTATGAAACAAGTAATCAGAACCTATCAAGACCGAAATTTCATGGGCACAGCACAAAAATGGCTCTACGGAACCCTAGATGCTGAAGACGGCGCAAGATATGATTCTTATATCCAGACGCTCAATGATAATCAAAAAACTCTCAATGAAGATCTAAAAACACAAGCTCAAGTATTGAAACAAGTTACAAAAACATTTCACGATCAATTTTTAACTATTGAATCTAACCAAAAGGTTATCACAGGAAAATTACAAAATATTTCCTTGGAAAACCAAAATTTCCACTCAATGTTAACCTTTAATCTAATATTGAACAACATCAATATTCAAGGTAATAAAATAAGGAATCTTATTGATCATGTGCAATTAGCAATAAATTTTGCACAATTGGGAATAATGCATTATACTATTTTACAGCATAATGAATTAAATCAAATATTAACAAATATACCCAAAAGTCAGCAAATACCTTTTGATAATAAAATCAAGTATTATGTGACAATGAAAACTCAAGTAAAAATCCAAAATGAGTTAATTATATTTGTTATACACACACCAATGATTGATCCCAAGCCCTTTATATTGTATAAAATTTATCCAATTCCTATCCAAGAACTTACCATTAGGAATAAGTACCCTTACCTATTACTTACTACGGACATTTACTACAATACGTTATGGGAATGCCCGAAAGTCGAAAGTGTGTACCTTTATAACCAAGAAGAGCTGAAGCAAGAAGAATCATGTGTCTATGACCTGATTACTGACCTACCACAACAATGTCCTTTCACTAAAGTGAAATATGAAAAACCAACAGTGAGACAACTCCCGAATGGACAACTATTAGTCATTCCTAAGAAAAGCCTGACCATAGTTATTCAATGTGACAAGACAAACCATATGGAAATAATAACAAATCCAACGCTAGTTTCGTTTGAAAAATGCTTTGTGAAAATACAAAATCAAACATTTTCAAAAACCAGCGAGAACTTCAATTTTGAACTGAAGATTCCAAGAATAGACATCCCTGAACTTCCAGAGAACGCAACAACATTGGAACTTCAAGAAATCAACCAAGAAGACTTAGAGGAAGCCTTCAAGACGACGAAACAAATAAGAGTTCATAATCTAAAAGAATTGTCTTTTGAACACTCTTATTTAAACACATATGTAATCATAGGTTTAAGTCTTGCTATTTTATTTTTAATTTTATTGTTTTACTGTTTTAGGAAATATAAAACTTTAGAAAAAGGTTGTGCAAATGTGCAAATTGAATTGTCTGATTTGAATTCACAACAATCCACGTTTGCAACATCTTAAGGAGGGAGGAGTTATATTAACCAATTGCCATGCTGATTTATAATCAATTATCTATTTTTTATATGCTTTAATGTGCTTACCCCTTTCCTCTAGGACTTTTTAAATACATTGTTGTAAAGTAAACATCAAATTGCTATGTCGGCATTAAATGTTTATTTAAGCCGATGCCGTCCCATAAGGAGCGTTCATTTGTTTTCTGGCTTTAGCCGTAGCAATTTGATCCAACTATTTTCTTTTGTCACCTCTGTATTTTAATCAATAAAATAAATGTTTTTTAAAATACAAGTTTCTGAATCGAAAATATAATTTTTTGTCATCAGCTACTAATATGTCCAAGCACATTATTGTTGATGGGATTTTAGCTTCCCTCGTGTAATAGTAGATTATACCACGAGTCAATAATGATAGCTATTATTCCCGAGGATTATTACGAACTGAGCCGCGTTAGTAACATTCCGAGGGAATAATAGCCATTATTGCGAGTAGTATACTCTACTTTATTTACGACAAATTAATTTATTTGAGATTTTCAATGAACAAATTTCATCCGTCTCATAATTTTCAATACAAATCCACAAGCACTACACGTTTGACACTGACACTTTTGTGGAATAATGACCATTAATCCCGCTACTCGTCATTAATCCCTGGAGGAATAACATATGTCATTATACTGCCAAAATTACAAATATAATACGCACATTATACATTAGTCGTATATAAACACGTATTAATTAATGAGTGCTTGTTTTAATTATTTTGTTCATAGGTATGACGATTAATTTTTCAGCCACACAAGTGTCCTTGAAATACACTGGAAAAAAAAAAGGAGAAACTTGACTCGGGTTGATTATGAAATAAGAATTGAGGTGGCGTAGGTACTTAGGGACGTTTAATTGCTTTGTAATTAAAAAATATACCTAAAAACAAACAAACGGAATTACAACTAATTAGACTTTTCTTGTTGTTGCCTAATTAAAGGCAAACAACTAACCAACAGAATATTTGATTTTGTGTATTCCTTACTGAAAAAAAAGCAAGTTATACTTTTAATTAACAGGAGTTTCAATCCAGTGGAACATAAATAATTCAAAAAGGCGATAAAAGGACCTATTAGGACCTTCAAAACTTCAAAAAGGACCGACCGAACCTGGCTCTTCATTAATGTTTAATTTGGAGTTTGTGCTTTGTAGCGTTTCATTTTATATTTAGCTTATAAATAGGCTTGATGAAAGCTTAAAAATATTATAAAACATCAAGCTTATGAAATGCACAGCTTCAAACTGTAGCAAAAATTTTAAAATTACCTCTCAAATAAAGCTTCGTTTTTCCTCAAAAAATATTCTCTTCTGATGCTTAAGCCGTATAATATTTTATCTTATTGCGCCTAGAGGTCTAAGGGAGAAGATGTTTTTTGCTGCGGATGCAGCATCTTTTAATTATTTTTGTGCATCCCCAAAGGAAAAAGAAGAGACTTTTACTAAGCCACAAAAATAAGATTAATTATAGTTTCTAATATTAGCTTTTTCCTACCACATGATGCCTGGTAACTTACAAGAAAATAAATCATCCAATTTATTCGTACGACATGAAATCGATCCACGTCATACCCATATCAAAACTGAATCTCGGTACGTGATTTGTCCAGTTAATTAAAGCAGTTTAATCTCCAAGATGTAATTAAAACTTTGCTTAACGTATTCCATATTTCATCAAAATATGATTCCGATTATAATTAATGCAATTTGTCTTTTGTACATCCTAAGGCCATATGGCGGTGATAGGATTATTAAGTTTCTACTTACGCTATAGCGTCAATCATATCCAGGCCCATTTCAACGGTAGATTGGGCATGTTCAGGCCTGGGTTCTGGTAGACCGGACACGCAATAGTAACAGTCGCCAAGGAGTTTGATTCGAAGACAATGATGTTCGGCTGCCAATTTATCAAATCTAGAAACAAAAAGTTGTTTAAAATATGCTAGAAAAATTCTTTCAACGTTGATTAAGTATGTAAGTAAGTAAACTTTCAAAAATTGAATGAATATTTATATAAGCTTTGTTGAAGGAATTTAGGCAACATAACACAACAGGCAAATTTATTCTTGACAGAGTGCTTCTGTCTTGACTTTTTAATACTACCTAAATTTCATACTCAAAGATGGAACTGTCCCAATTTTAACTTGGGAGAAAAAATATATATTTGGAGGGTTCTATCCATGCTTTTAGGTGGCATTGATGATAGCCTACGGCCTAATCTACTGATACTTTCCATGAACTATGCACGAAACAAGAAAAAATGTATAACTTTGACCAATTAGTGACAATGTTAAGTATATGATGAATGTGTCTTATTATCTTCCTGGTTACCATCTTTTGATAATCTCGGACAATTTTAGTGTTGAGTTCATTGTATGAGGAAATAAAGGGTAAATAGTTTTTTTTTCTCTTAATTTACATAATTTAATTTGTTGCGATACTCATTTTAATATAATATATTAGGGGAATGAAACGTAGACTTCTAGAGCTTCTGCTCTTTTTTTTTACATAAAAACATATTTTAGCCTGATGAAGAAGAAAAATTCAATTGTCGGAGCATTGACTTTGAAATAAATAAAGTTCTACATCCTTTTCGGACGCATATTTACATGATTTTTTTCGTTGCTTTGACGATGGCCTTGGGTCGAAAACTCTTTGCACTGAAAATTTTAGTGAAATTTGCACAAAATAAACTTCAACTCATTACTCTTTTGAACGTGCACACAGCATTCACAATTTAATCAGTTATTTACAATCAAATTTGCCATCTTATAGACTGCCAAACATTGCGCTTAAGGCCGCGTTAATGGCCGTCATGTTTAAACTGTGATTGGTTGATTTTTTGAAACTTGTTTTAAGGTCTTTAAAAAAACGGCATATATACGGTAAAAAAGCTACATTGGGAGCATCATAATTGTATATTTGTCTTCCTCTGTCACTAAATGTTTCATCGACAAACAGATTTTGTTTTGGACAAATAATAAAATATTGAATCGTATGTATAGAGCGACGCAGTCGTCATTTTCAAAAACTAATTTAAACATGGCGGACATTAACGCGGCCCTAATAGGCTAATTGCACTTGGTGAAAATCCAATGCCTCCAAAAAAGGAAAATTGGAATCAAAGACTTCAATCTTTTCTTGAGGAAATGTTGGGCTTCCATTTCTGCCTCGATCACTCAAATAATATGAAAGATGCTGAATACTTGGTGAAAAAATATTGTCACGGCTCTAGGGTGCGTGACAGAAATCTTGGGTTCGTTTATTCCAAAATCGAAGTCCAATTAACAAAACAGTAATTTATTCCACGTTACTACACACTTTGACACTAATTACTTCACTCAATAACTCAAACAACTTAACTCTTTACAGCTCTTACAAAATTCTCTATCTAAATCGTATCACCGTCAATCTTGAACTTGGAAACTACTAACTAATACCGGCCTTTATATATCCGTAATCTATTCTTGCAAAATCCAGAATAAACGCGATAGACCTTTTTCCCGAAGAGCACTGTAAAAATCTAGAAATCTGCTATCCGATTCTGTATCTTCTGACGGACGCGCACATAAATTCCGCTACACTGCCCTCCTCTTTAGATTGATCGTTCCGATCAACTTCGCGCCCATGATATTTCGTCAATCGGTCCAAATATGTACAACTTTCATCTTACTCCTGGTGTTGCGCTGAACTCGATAAACGAAATCAATAATCCTCCTGATTATTCTGTAGGGTCCTTCCCATGCTGAAGACAATTTCGGCCACACTGTTTTCATTCTTTTGGATAAGCCACACCAAATTACCTTCTTGAAATCCGGCTAAATTGGCTTTCAAGTCGTATCGGGTCTTCATTCGGTCACTGGCCAGCTGAATATGCTGTCGTGCCCTTACTTCGTCGGCATAATCTCGAATTTCTTTTCGTTCATCTTCAGGTATTCCAAACATCAGATCGCAAGGAAACCTGAGTTCCCTTCCAAAAACGATTCTATATAGCTGGACTTTCACCTGTTGACTCGTGAACAGCTGATCTATAAGCCATTAAAAATGGAGGCAAGTGTTTGTCCCAATCTCGCTGGTTCTTTACGACCACTTTTGTCAGGTATTCCTCTATGGTCTTATTAAATCGTTCTACCATGCCGACTGTGGATGTAAAGGCGTTGTCCTTGTCTTATGAATGCCCATAATCTCATAAATCTCCCTGAAGATGGCAGATTCGAAGTTTCGTTCCTGATATAAGTGCAACTCTAGTGGCACACCATGACGACTGAAAACTTCGTCCACTAGCACCTGGGCAATAGTGATAGCTTCTTGATTGGGAATAGCGAAAACTTCTGACCATTTAATGAAGTAATCCATGATTACCAAGATGTATTTGTTACCACGCTCTGACTCAGGGAACGGTCCGGTCCGGTTACATCTATCGCTATTCTTTCAAATGGGAGACTGACGTTTTACGGTTTCATGGGCCCCCGAGATCTTAGTTTAGGGCGTTTACTGGTAGCACAGGTGTCGCATTTTCGGCACCAGTTTTTTACGTCCTCATAATAGTGGACCCAGTAAAAACATTCTCGAATTTTGTTCAAAGTCTTGTTAACTCCAAATTGTGTCCCTGAAGCTCTAGCATGTATTTCTTTTTATACATCTTCTACTCGATCTTTTGAAATAACTAGTTGGCTCTTCGTAGTTTTCCCATCGGCACTTTCCCAAACTCTTTTTAGTAAACCATTTTCTACGGCCAGAGAAATCCACTAAGCCTCCAACGCCTTGTTCGACACTTCCCTCCATTCTGGCCTACATTTATTATTTTCATTAAGATGTAGAATTTGCCCGATGTCCTGGTCTGCTCCTTGATCTGCTCTCATTATTTGTTTGGTAGTCCATTTTTCATCGACGATAAGACCCGTTCTCACAGCTGGACCAGTGTTTTTCTCATGCATATCGATTCTTTGACGATGCTTGCAGTCTTCTTTGCATGGCCGTCTAAACAGAACGTCAGCATTTTTTTGCAGGTTTCCAGGTCGATGTTTAATTTGGAAATCGTATTGCTGCCATTTCTCAATCCATCTAGCAAGCTGTCCTTGAGGAGTTCTCATTTCTGAAAGCCATTTTAGAGCTGCGTGATCCGTAGACATACCTACTTATGGAAATGGTCGACTGCTTTTACTATGACAAACAACTCTCTTCTGGTGACACAATAATTTCGTTCTGGCTTTGATAAGGACGATAAGGTTCTGCTATAGTACTCTTCTACGACATGGTCTTGTGAATTTTGGATTTGTGAAAGGACAGCTCCAATACTAGCGTTGCTTGCATCTGTGTCCAAAATCAACATGCCTTTCTGAACAGTATAGGACAACACTGGGCTTGTACATAATGCTCCTTTCAATTTCCTAAAAGCGGAATCGCATTCTTGGGTCCAATTGAATGTTGATTTTTCTTCCGTCAATCGATGAAGCGGAGCGGCTATATTAGCGGATCCTTCTACAAATCTTCGATAATAAGAACACAATCCTAGAAAACTTTTTAGTTCATCTTTGTCATGTGATTTTGGCCAATCCCTGACAGCATATATCTTTCCTTCCATAACTTGTATGCTATCTTCAAATACCACGTGACCTAAGAATTCCACTTTCTCTTGAAATAGAAAACACTTATTTGGATTGATTTTTGAGTTGGCATTCCGGAAGCGGTAAAAGACTTCCTTCAGGTTATTGAGATGTTCTTGAAACAAATTTTCCATGATCATGACATCATCTAAATATACCAGGCCAGTTCTCCATGTAAAGTCTCGCAAAACAAGATGCATCAGTCGCTCAAACGTAGCTGGAGCATTACACAATCCGAAAGGCATTACGTTAAACTGGTATAATCCGCTTCCGGTACTGAAGGCAGTTTTCTCTTCGTCATCTATGTGTATTGCCACTTGCCAGTATCCAAGGTGGAAAACCATTTGGAGCCCGACAGAGTTGTTAATGTATCGTCTATCCTTGGGAGAGGGATGCTGTCCTCTTTAGTGACGTCATCAATAAGCTTTCGGTAGTCTACACAAAATCTAAGACTTCCATCTCTCTTCGTGACCAATACTACTGGCGCCGACCATGGACTGTTTGACTTTTCAATAATTCCCTCTTGAAGCATTTTATCAATTTAGTTTTCCACTTCCTGTTGTTTAGCTACTGGCATACGTCGAGGTGGTTGTCTAATTGGGTGTGCCAATCCAGTATCAATTTTCTGTTGAATTAAACTGGTCCGTCCGATTTGATTATCCATCAAAAATACGTCTGCTTCTTTCAAGATGAAATCTGTGGCTTCTTAAAGTCTATCTGGATCGAGGTTTTTCCATGATTTCTCCAAAATCTGCATTAAGGTGTCTGTATCCAATTTCGGTTTTACATAATGTCCTTCATCTGGTAGGTCACAGTTCGATATTTGCTTAACTGGTTCGAGAGTTCCAATAGTATCTCCTTCCTTTATTTTTACCCAGATTTTTACGGTTTCAGAAAAAATATTGGCAATTTATAATCATCATAATATCTCTATCTGTTCTTACTAGAATCTTTCCAGCGATACATATTTCTGATTTATCTCCAATAAAATTAGGTGTTAGTCCAATGCAGCACCCACGGTTTGTTTCCAATTTTCCGCAAATGATCTTCTTCATAGTACTTCCAGGAATCCTCAATGGGGTTGTGGCCAGGATCTTAACGGCTTGGAATTCTTCTTGAGGAGTTAGGACAAATTCTTCAATACCAAATTTAAGGATGTTCATAGAAGGATCGGAAGAGAAACCATGTTGACCGATCAAATCCATTCCCAAAATAAAATCATCTTCTATATCGGCGACTAATGTTCTGTGCCTGAAGGGGGTAGATCCAAAAGTAAGCTCAATCAGAGCTTCTCATTGAACTGGTGCT